TTGAAATGGTAATATTTTGGATATGTAATTTAAATAAACTATATTATTAAAGTTATTTCATTTGTTTCTTTTCCTTTGTCACCTGTCTGCAACCTCTCATGCTAAGTTTCCTCCTCCTCTTCCTGTGTTGGAAATTGAGGCTGCTGCTCTTTGTCAAAGTGATTTAGATTCTCCAGGGGCTTCCCTGGTGGCTCAGATGGTAAAGAATCTATCTGCAACGTGGGAGACATGGGTTCGATCCCTGGGAAAATCCCCTGGAGGAGGGCATGGCAACCCACTCCAGTATTCTTGCCTGGAGAATCCCCATGGTCAGAGGAGCCTGTCAAGCTACAATCCATGGGGTTGCAAAGAGTTGGACATGACTGAGTGACTACCACAGCACAGCACAGGCAAGACTGAGAGGCTTCATTCTTTCTGAAACAATTTGGAACAAAGCTATTTCTGCATAGTAACAGGGATGTTTAGCATTGGCTTGGGCAGGGAGACTGAAGTCTGCCTCCCACACAGAGCCATTGGCTAGCTGCACCGCCTGCCCAAAGCAACCTCAGGCCTTGTTTCCACTCCCACCCACTTCCACTTCCCACACACAGCTGTGTTACCTATCTGCACACCCTCAGGCTATGCATTGCCTTCTTCCTGCATTGGACAATGAGGACCTACCTGATTTACAGACCAGGAAGCCTCATATGCTTCGGGAGGCCAGAGCCCCATTCTTACTCATCCACTGGCTAACTGTCTTTTGTCTACAGCCTCTCAGGTGCCAATTTGGCTGCCTCCTTTCACATGGCAATAGGGGTTACTACTTGGCAATAGTTTACCAAAGGCTATAGAGGCTAAAGCCCAATGTCTGCAGTCATTGGCTAACTATTTGTCTGTAGCAACTCAGGCTCTGCCTCTCTTACTCTGCACATAGCAACAGGGGCTTCTCCCTAGTAACAGGCTGCTGTTTCATCCTATTGGTCACTAGAAACCAGATCCCAACTATTATACACAGCCATTGGCCAGCTGTACTATCTATCTGCAACCCCTTGATCTAGACAAGAGAGCTCAAATTACTGGCTTCCATTAACTCTTCCACCACCACTGTTCATAAGGTGGTGGTGGTGGTTTAGTTGCTAAATTGTGTCTGACTCTTGTGATCCCATGGACTGTAGCCTGCTAGGCTCCTCTGTCCATGGGATTTCCCAGACAAGAATACTGGAGTGGGTTGCCATTTCCTTCTTCAGGGGATCTTCCCAACCCAGGAATTGAACCCAGGTGTACTGCATTGCAGGCAGATTCTTTATCAACTGAGCTATGAGGGAAGTCACTCATATGGTAGGACCTTGAATTTGGTCATTTGTTTACTAACCAACCATCAATGACTCTCTTGTCAAAAGCTAAAATCCAGGCCCCTGTTAACATTTCTACTACCTTTCAGCCAATTTTCAACCCTTTCAGTATTGCTCTAGTCTGACTGGTAATCTAGAGCTCTGATAATTCTTCTACCGTCAATTCCTTCCTAGTATCATTTAGCATTCAGCCTTCAATGAACTATTCCTCCATCAAAGTCTCCCTGATCTGGAGCTGGAACCCAGGCCTGGCAATTTTTCCACCACCAATGCATAGTAAGAGTGATCTCAAACTCAACCTCTGTGAACCTTTCCAACATTAATGAGCTTGATAAAGTCCATCTGATAAAGACCACAAGTGTCACATCCATAGTCAGACAGAAATTTTTTTTTTGACAGTGCCCCCATGGCTTATGGGATCTCAGTTCCCCAATCACGAGTTGAACCTGGGCCATGGTAGTGAAAGCCCAGAACTCCCCAGAAATAGGTTTTAACTTGCTGTAACAAGGGAGACCACACATCACAGGAACTGTGCAGGATCTCACTTAAGGTGACCAACTTGTTTCAGTTTTCCCAGGACTTTCCTAATTTTAGCACTGAAGTTCCCTTGTTTCAATAAACCCCTCTGACCTACACACACAGGGATGGTTGATTACCCTAGTCCCACCAAACAAAGGAAGAAATAGTATTACTACAGGATGTTGGGGAAAAGTGGAGTTTAGTTAAAATTTAAATGAAGCATGGGACTTCCCTGGTGGTCCAGTGGTAAAGAACCCCCTTTCCAATGCCGGGGATGTGGGTCTGATCCCTGGTCAGGCAACTAAGATCCTACATGCTGCAGAGCAGCTGAGCTTGTGTGCCGCAAGTACTGAGCCCACACATTGCAACCACTGAAGCCCAGGTGCCCTAGAGATTGTGCTCTGCAACAGGAGAAGCCACAACAGTGAGAAGCGCAAGTACTGCAACTGGAGAGTAGCCCCTACTCTATGCAACTGGAGAAAGCCCATGTACAGCAAGGAAGACCTAGCACAGCCAAAATAAATGAATAAAAGAGAAAATTTAAAAAAAAAGATGTGACACTTCAGATGCCCCTTTTTGAATCTCTGAATCTGGGTTGGAAATCAATTCTGCTTTTCTGTGTCAAAGTAGCTTGGCTCCTCCAGGCAAGAGTGGAACATTTTATTCTTACTGACATAGTTTCAATTAATAAAGTTCCTGATGTCAGAGAGCAAGTTTTCTTAGTAGGGCTGGGACTAGGCTCAGGCAAAAGAGACACTCACTTCAAAGTGTTGCAGGAAGGGGGACCCCTTCCAGGGCCTGAAACTGGACTCTTGTCTAACACTCCAAAATGAACTGTCCGAGGAGACACATGTGCTGACAAAGCAAGAGATTTTATTGGGAAAGGGCACCCATGTGGAGAGCAGTAGGATAATGGAACCCAGGAGAACAGTTCTGTCTAATGGCTTGCAGTCTTGGGTTTTATGGTGATGGGATTAGTTTCCGGGTTGTCCTTAGCCAATCATTCTGACTCAGAGTCCTTCCTGGTGGTACACGCCTTGTTCAGCCAAGATGGATGCCAGAGAGGATTCTGGGAGGTGGTTGGACAGGTGGTGTCTCCTTTTGACCTTTCCCGAACTCTTCTGGTTGGTGGAGGTTTATTAGTTCCCTGTTCCTTACCAGGACCTCCTGTCGTAAAACAACTCATGCAAATAGTTACTATGGTGCCTGGCCAGGGTGGGCGGTTTCAATCAGTGTACTTTCCCTAACAAAAGTACAAAAGTTAAGGGGGAACCCAAAACTCAGTAATCAAAACATTTTAGTGCAATATTTTCAAAAGTCAAAATACAAGAACACTGATTTAAATCATTATTTGTTAGGGAAATTAAAATGGAGGTTGTCTTGTTCAGGTGTCAGAATCAGGGGAGCAGGCCTCTGACTGAATTCTGACCCTGCCTAGACTTCATGCCTGCCTGCAAGCACACCAATTGTTACCAGCAAGAAGTGGCACTTTAGATAAGAAAGGGAATAGGTCTTGGAATTTCTTAAGCTGCTGGGGACCTTGCTACTCTCCTGAGGTCTAACTAATTTTATGACTGACAGGGTGAAACAAACAGCATTATAAAAATTAAAGAAAAAAAACAGAGCTGCATTTTTGCCAGCAAATGGATGATGATATCAGTTTGTGGCCTGGGATTATATGGGGGAGCCTCCAAAGCTGCAGTGTGAATTCTCACTCATGGAGTGGACTCTCTGCCCAGGGCCCTTTCTCAACTGGGACTCCAGATTGCTGTCATTTGGGACTTTCTAGCTCTGGTCAAGTCTGGATGTAAGTGTCAGACCAATTTGGCTGTGTAGATGCTGTTGCTTTTCTCTATTGTTTCTATTTCTTTGGATGCTTCTAATGACTGTATATTGAAATTAAGTTAAATAGTCTTCTATCAAAAATTGAAATTGTTTATGTGTGTATAACAAGTGGTTTCTTTTGTTAACGAATCCTTCAAACCTAACTTTCAGTAAAGCATTAATAGAGAAGAATCCAGATCACATAGGTGTTGGTAGAGTTAAGAAAGGCTCAGCTTTGACATCAGTTCAGAGAGGCATTGATGGTGGAAGTAAACAGGGTCTAGGATTTGAGATGTTGACCAGAAATCACAGCAATAATAAGTTTTGGAAATTTATGTAGAGGTGTGTGTGTTACAGCAATGTTCTCCCATTTGCCATTCTGTCTCCATCCAGTTCATAACTACTTCAGATTATTGAGCTGAGGCCCAGAGAGAAGAAATGAATGTCCTTAGGGTACTCAGCAATCCATACCCACACTTAGCCAGGGTCTACCTGCTGGGTTTGAAACACCTTCAGCAGGGAAAAGAGCTCTTTACCTCTTGCCAGAGTAGGTTCCTTGCAGGAGGGTATACTAAGACTGGGTTTTAAAGAATGTGCATAGGAATTCAGAGGTGAAGAACACCCAGAATTCTCTTCTGTCCCAAGAGACAGCAGCTCCTGAATTTCCACATAAGAGAGGCTAACCTGGTTGATAGCAGATGTTGGGGGCGCATCTTAAGAGATTCATTTTCATTGAAAGTGTGTTTATAACTTTTCTAAATGTCTTTCTATTGATAATTTTCTGAAAAACATTAGTTATCTATATCAAAGACTAGTAATATTATTCCTAGCTACAACCATTTTTGTGGGGTAATGAAAATTGAAGGGATCAAACACTTCTTGATATCAATTCCACAATACATTAAAAGGAGACTGTACCACCTTGACTCCTCCTCTCTCTTCTACAGTGGTATTGCCCAGGAGGGGACCTGACTTTCCCCCCTCTTACCAGTGGTATCCTCAAGGAGGGGATTGTACCACCCTGACTCCTTCTCTCGTCCAGTGATATCTCCCAAGAGGAAACTGTGATCCTGCCTTTCTTCCCCCTTCTTAGTGGTACCTCCCTGGAAGATCTGGACACATCTCCCTTTCCCCTGGGATGCGGTTTGGAACTTCTGCTTCTGTAAACTTTGCACAGGCCTATAGAACGCAGTTCCAAAAGCCAGTTTCTCCTGAAGCCTGGCCTTCAGAAAGTTTCTACGCATGAGCGACGCCCCCCGCCATCGTCCTCTATGGAACAGCCCACTGTACGGAAAGGACGCTAAGATGGCAGCCCTCATAGTGGAACACCTCGGCGCAGCCATGTTCCTCGCCCGTCACCGCTGCTCATGGTTCAAGTCTCTGCAGATCTCTAACTGCACATTGTTCAGAGTGAGTGGACCACAGTCTCAGAGCTCTTGTTTGATTGTGTGCGAAATTAACACCCCCAGAAGGGGCAGTGGCAGAGGTGAGGACAGGAAACGGAAGTGGCCCTCCGACTGTTTTAAGTCTTGTTGGCGCGCGGCACTAAAGTGAGTGAGTACACGAGGGGTTTGTGGCGTAATCACTGACAGTTATCAGTGATTTTGAGGTGATGGCTTTGTTGGCTTTGGCTCTGGGGAGTTGCAGACTGTCAGTTTGTGGGGTCAGTTGGTGGGGAATTAAAGAGTCTGATGAATGAGAATCTAGCAGGTCAGGGATGGAGGCCTCTTAGGTAGTCAGTTTTTAGATTCTTTGCTGCATCTTGTTGTCAAGTCCTAATAGTGCATGTGTGTTTAGATATTTTCCTTAGTTTCCCCAGAGATTTGCTAGTTTTATTAGCGCTTCCCAAGAACCACCTTTTGGTATTGTTGATCCTCCCTGATGTACCTCTGTTTTCAGTTTCCGTAATTCCTTCTAGTTGTACTATTTTCTCTTTTATCTAACTTCTTAAATTGGTTGTTAATTCATTAATGTTCAACCTTTCTTTGTTAAAAAACATTTAAGAGCATGAATTTCCCTTTTAAGAATCTCTTTAGCTGCATTCTGCAAAGTGTTCTAGACAACATCTTATTATTGTTGAGCTTTGTGTTTAATTTTTCTTTTTCATTTATTCTTTGCTATAATGCTTTTGGGAGGGTTGACATTGTAATTAAATCTTTTCATCCATTTTAATTAAATCTTTTTGTCTGTGTGACTATATCAATTTTTTTAATTAAAAAAATTTTAAATATAGCTCCTGTTTATTTTACATATTTTTATATTTTTCTTGTTATTATTAATTGTTTTTTCTGTTTTCTTGTGATTATTGTTATTGAACAGAAAAAAACTATCTGCTCTTATAATTTTATCTTGTATCCAGTCCTGTATCAAATTACCCTATGAATTCTGGTAGAGTCTGGTAGGTTTTCTATGTATAAAATCACATCACTGACAAAGAGAGCTATATTTTCATTTATTTGCAATATTTATTCTGATTATTTCATCTTTCATGTGTGCTAGAGTCAGGAAAATTTTGAATTGTATTGGCCATCCCCATCTTTTTACTATTTTTAATGGCAGTTGCTTCATCATTTTACTTTTTAGCATAGTATTTCAGAGCTATTTTTTTGTAAATGATTTTTGTGATATTTAAGTGATTTGCTTCTTCCCTAATTTTGAGTTTTTATTAGTAATGACTGCTGACTTGTGTCAAATGCCTTTTTCTTGGTGTAAGTTAAAAGCAGTGTGTTTCCTCCCCCTCTAATTTGTTGATTTAATGAATATTATTAATGTTGAACCATCTTCTAGAAAGAACAGGCTGAGAACTTCCCTGTAGAATATTTTTTAATTTATTTTTATTTATTTGGCTGCTTCAGGCCTTAGTTGTGGTACACAGGATCTTTGTTGTGTCACATGGGCATGGGTGCCAGCTCAGTACTTGCAGTGCATGGGCTTAGTTGCTCCAGGGTATGTTGGATCTTAGTTCCCTGACCAGGGATCAAACCTGTGCCCTCTGCATTGGCAGGCAGATTCTTAAACACTGGATCACCAGGGAAGTCCCCTTGTAGAAGAATTTAAGAGAGATTTTTCACCCAGAATGGCGAAATAATTAAAGTGGGCAAAAGAGATCCCTTTCATTTAGATTAGCAAGTTTCCGGGTTTTCTGCTTCCACAGTCACCTACCAGGACCCCATGGACAAGTCCTTCCTCTGCCTATCTCATGGGACTTCAGCACCATTCACTTGCCTCAGGTCTACCTTCTCCTCAAACCCAGATCTGCCTTGAACCTGGAATTGAGGGACAGGCTTGTCGGGTAAAATGTGAAGCACCCCTTTGAGCTCATTAATTTGACTCCACGTATCATGATTATTTCCATAATCTGCCCTGAACAATGCTCAGAGAGGGGATTGTTGAAATTTGTGGGGTGAATGTGAAATGACATTGATGACATGAATACTGTCCTTTTTAGGATTTGTTGTTGTCTCTGTGGAGCTGTTGAGCTTCCCCCTTAATGGAGGCTGCAGGATCTTCCATTTATTTTGACTGCAGCCCATATACACACACCTCTCCAGCTTTGGAAGGTGGACTGGTATCCAGAGTGAACATGCCAGCTAATGGGAAATCACCCCAGAGGTTTCCTGCCCTGGTTCCAGGACAACCTGGTGGATCATTTGAGGTAAGTAAGAGGCGCCTACTTTTCCCATTTTTCTCTTTTTTTAATTTTTTAGACAAAATTTTTTTACTTTAGACAGATTTTAATTTTGAGATAATTGTAGAAAAGGCAGAGGAACCAGAGATCAAATTGCCAACATCTGTTGGATCATCAAAAAAGCAAGAGAGTTCTAGAAAAACATCTGCTTCTGCTTTATTGACTATGCCAAAGCCTTTGACTGTGTGCATCACAGCAAACTGTGGAAAATTCTGAAAGAGACAGGAATACCATATCACTTGACTTGCCTCCTGAGAAATCTGTATGCAGGTCAAGAAGCAACAGTTAGAGCTGCACATGGAACAACAGACTGGTTCCAAATCAGGAAAGGAGTATGTCAAGGCTGTATATTGTCACCCTGCTTATTTAACTTCTATGCAGAGTACATCATGAGAAATGCTGGACTGGATGAAGCACAAGCTGGAATCAAGATTGCCTGGAGAAATATCAATACCACAAATATGCAGATGACACCATACTTATGGCAAAAAGTGAAGAAGAACTAAAGAGCCTCTTGATGAACGTGAGGAGAGTGAAAAGGTTGGCTTAAAACTCAACCTTCAGAAAACTAAGATCATGGCATCTGGTCCCATCACTTTGTGGCAAATAGATGGGGAAACAATGGAAACAATGACAGACCTTACTTTTTTGGGCTCCAGAATCACTGTAGATGGTGACTGCAGCCATGGAATTAAAAGACGCTTACTCCTTGGAAGAAAAGTTATGACCAACCTAGACAGCATATTAAAAAGCAGAGACATTGCTTTACGGACAAAGGTCTGTATAGTCAAAGCTATGGTTTCTCCAGTAGTCGTGTATGGATGTGAGAGTTGGACCATAAAGTAAGCTGAGCACTGAGGAACTGATGCTTTTGAACTGTGGTGTTGGAGAAGACTCTTGAGCATCCCTTGGACTGCAAGGAGATTAAGCCAGTCAATCCTAAAGGACATCAGTCCTGAATATTCATTGGAAGGACTGATGCTGAAGCTGAAACCCCAGTACTTTGGCCACCTGATGTGAAGAGCTGACTCATTGGAAAAGACCCTGATACTGGGAAAGATTTAAGATAGGAAGGAGAAGGGGACAACAGAGGATGTGATGGTTGGATGGCATCATTGACTCAATGGACATGAATTTGAGTAAGCTCCAGGAGTTGGTGATGGTCAGAGAAGCCTGATGTGCTACAGTCCATGTGGTCGCAAAGAGTTGGACCTGACTGAGTGACTGAACTGAACTGTAGATTCAATTTACCCAGTTTTCCCCATCATAACATCATGTAAAATCTTACAATATCACAACCAGGATATTGACATAGAACATTTCCATCATGTTGCACTTTAATAGCCATGCCCACTTCCCTTCTCCTGCTCTCCCTCCTTAACCCCTGGCAACCCATAATCTGTGCTCCAGTTCTATAGTTTTGTTATTTCAAGTGTTATATAAATAGAATCATACAGTATGTAACCTTTTGGGACTGGCTGTTTTTTATTCAGCATAATTATCTGGAGATTCATCCAGATTGTTGCATATGTGAATAGCTTGTTCCTTTTTATTGCTGAATAGCATTCAATGTTATGGATTTATTGTAGTTTGCTTAACCAGTCAATAGTTGAAGGATATCTTGGTTTTTTCCAGTTTTTGGCTGTTACAAATAAGGATGCTATGATTGTGTAAGGTTTTTGTATCGAATGAATAAACGTGAGTGCCATTGCTGGATTATATGCTAAGAGTGTTAAAATAATTAAGTGACCTAGTTTTTAGTACAGTTTTAGATTTACAGAATAATTGAGATGATAGCATTAGTGTGGTACATTTGTTAAATAAACCAGTATTGATATGTTATTATTCAACAGTTTACAGTATGGGTCACTCTTGTTGCATATTCTATTCAGTTCAGTTCAGTCTCTCAGTCATGTCCGACTCTTTGAGACCCCGTGAATCGCAGCACGCCAGGCCTCCCTGTCCATCACCAACTCCCGGAGTTTACTCAAACTCATGTCCATCGAGTCAGTGATGCCATCCAGCCATCTCATCCTCTGTCATCCCCTTCTCCTCTTGCCCCCATTCCCTCCCAGCATCTGGGTCTTTTCCAGTGAGTCAACTCTTCACATGAGGTGGCCAAAGTATTGGAGTTTCAGCTTCAGCATTAGTCCTTACAATGAACACCCAGGACTGATCTCCTTTAGGATGGACTGGTTGGATCTCCTTGAAGTCCAAGGGGCTCTCAAGAGTCTTCTTCAGCACCACAGTTCAAAAGCATCGATTTTTTGGTGCTCAGCTTTCTTCACAGTCCAACTCTTAATGACATGTTTCCATCATTACAGTTCATACACAACAGTTTCATCTGTGCTTAGATATTCATCTTTCCTCTCCCTCTGCCTGAAACTCTGGTAATCACTGACTTTTTTTTTTACTGTCTCTATAGTTTTGCCATTTCTAAAATGTCTATTGTCTGTGGCCTTTTCAGATTGGCTTCTTTCACTTAGCAATTTGCATTTAAGATTCCTCCATTTTTTTTATCACTGAATAATATTCCACTGGAGGGATGTACCACAATCTGCTTACCCATTCACCTATTGAAGGACATCTTGGTTGTTCACAGTTTCGGGTGATAATGAATAAAGCTGCTACAAACATGTATGTACAGAAGCTTTCCGCTCATTTGGGCAAATAACTCAGAGTACAGTTGTAGGTCATATGATAAGACTTTGTAAGAAGCTGCCAAACTGTCTTCAAAGTTTTTTACCATTTTCATTTTCACCAGTAATAAATGAACATTCTTGTTGTTACACGTCTTTGCCAGCTTTTGGTATTATCAGTTTTTTGGATTTTAACCATTCTAATAAATGTATAGTTGTAACTCATTGTTTTAATTTGAAATTCCCTAATGAAAAATGATGTTGAACATGGTTTTACATGTTTATTTCACATCTGTATATCTTCTTTGGTCAAGTGTCTATTCACATCTTTTGCATATTTTTAATAGGAATGTATGTTTTCTTATTGATTTTAAAATTTCTTTGTATTGATATATTTTAAACACAAGTCCTTTATCAGATATGTGTTTTGCAAATATTTGCTCCTGTTCTGGGCATGTCTTTATTCTCTTAACAGTGCCTTTCAAAGAGCAGAATTTTTTAATTTTAGTAAAGACCAACTTGTCAGGTTTTCTTTCATGTAATGTACAGTTGGTGTTATATTTTAAAACATTGCCAAACCCAAAGTCAGTTAGACTTTCTCCTGTTTTTTTGCAGTTTTCTCTCTTTCATTCTTTTTGGCTGCACCATGCAGTTTACAAGATCTCATTTCCCTGACCAGGGATTGAACCTGGGCCACAGCAGTGAAAGCCTGGAGTCCTAACTACTAGGCCACCAGGGAACTCCCTATTTTGCAGAAGTTTTGCATTTTTGCATTTTGCAAGTAGGTCTAAGATCCATTTAGAGTTAATTTTTGTGAAAGTTGTAAGGACTTGGTCTGGATTTGTGTGTGTGTGTGTGTGTGTGTGCGGATATTGAAGTGTTTCAGTGCCACTTATTGAAAAGTCTATTCTTTCTCCATTGAATTGCCTTTGTTTCTTTGTCAAAGATCAATAGTCTATTTTTGTGTGGTTCTATTTCCTTGCTCTCTATTTGTTCCATTGATAAATTTGTCTATTTTTACTAATACCACACTTTTACTTATTTATTTTTAAATTGAGGTATAAGTGACTTACAGTATTATATTAGTTTCAGATGTACAGCATAATGATTTGATATTTGTATGTACTGTTAAATGATCACCATATGTCTAGTTGACATCCATCACCATACAGCTTTCAAATATGCAATACAACAATATTATTGTCTATAGTAACCATGCTTTACATTACATCCCCATGACTTACTTATTTTTAGCTGAAAAAAATTTGTGCCTTTTGACTCCCTTCATGCATATTACCCCCTCCTCTCACCTCTGGCAACCACAAACCTGTTCTCTAAGTCTATGAGCTTGATTGTTGTTTTGGTTTTTTTGTTTTAGATTCCACATATAAGTGAGATCATACACTATTTATCATTTTCTGTCCTACTTATTTCACTTAGCATAATGCCCTCAGAGCCCATCCAAGTTGTAGCAAACAGTAAGATGTCCTTCTTGCCCATGACTGAATAATATTTCTTTGTGTATGTGTGTATATCTATATCTATCTTATGTTTTCTTTATCCATTCATCTTTTGGGTGGACACTTAGGTTGCTTCCATATCTTGCCTATTGTAAATAATTCTGCAGTGAACATGGGAGTACAGGTATCTTTTCAAGTTAATATTTTCATTTTTTTCAGATAAATACCCAGTAATGGAATTGCTGGATCATATGGTTGTTCCATTTTTAATTTTTTGAAGTATCTCCATACTGTTTCACATAGTGACTGCACCAATTTGCATTATCACCAATGGTGCACAAGGGTTCTCTTTTCTCTATGTCCTCTCCAACGCTTGTTATTTGTTGTCCTTTTGATAATTTTTGGCATCCTAAGAGGTGTGAGGTGATAGCTCACTGTGGTTTTGATTTGCATTTCATTGATGATCAGTGATGTTAAGCATTTTTTCATGTACCTATTGGTCATCTGCATGACTTCTTTGGAAAAATGTCTATTCAGATCCTTTGTCCCTTTTTAAATGGGATTGTTTGTTTTTCGCTATTGAGTTATATGAGTTCTTTATATATTTTGGATATTAACCCCTTATCAGATATGCAGTTTGCAAATGTTTTTTCCCATTCTGCAGGTTGCCTTTTCATTTTGTTGATAGTTTCCTTTGCTGTGCAGAAGAATTTTAGTTTGATGTAGTCCCACTTGTTTATTTTTGCTTTTATTACCTTCGCTTTTAGAGTCAGATCCAAAAAAAATCATTGCCAAGACTGATGTCAGGGAGCTTACTGCTCATACATTCTAGGAGTTTTTATGGTTTCAGGTCTTACATTCAACTCTT